GAGAGACAAGTTTTGATTAATAGTGAGGCAAGGGTTAATTTCCTCAATGAATTCATTAATGTCCTCGGTCTCCTAGGATTTAAATCTAACATCAAACTTATCGCAAATGTGATCAACAATATCCTTTTTGCTCAGATATCCAATCACCCTCATCATTTTTTAATCCTAAGAATTTTGTTTTTGCTTTTTCGGATTGTTCTTGCGTAAAAGAAGTCACCATTTTTGTCTCCCAACTTAATCCAGTCAGTCCTAGAATTTTGGGCTCAATACACTTCTTCCTGAACAAAAATATTATTTAAATGCCTTTGAAGCGCCATTTCCAAATTAATTAAGGCCATATTGTTAGGGTCATTTAATAAATTCATTTGCACTTCCCCTATTTGCTTAATAATATTTTCTTTTAATTGGAAAATATTTCCAAATTTGTTTTTGTTCCAAGCTTTTAGGGGATGTTTGGAAGCATGGGCATTTTTTTGAAAATTGGTGCCACGTCGGATCCACGTAGGCGATTCCACAAACAACCGCCTACATGACTGTTTGGTTCAAGCATTTTTTTCTTTTGAAAAAATGCTGAAAAACAGGCATGTATCATAAATCGCATCCTAACTACTGCATGAAACGTCAAATTTGATGTTTCATGCATCGGTGAACCATTGCTCCCAACGGTTGAATAATGAGGTGCTTATGTGTATGAAAAATGGTGATGAAAATCACCTTACCAGACAGCATAAGTGTTGCTCACAGCCTACGTGGCAGAAACACTAGCAAACATATGAAGGTGTTTTTTTTTTTTTTTGTGAAAAATGGGTCTAGTAAGCATGGGCATTTTTTTGAAAATCGATCTCAAAAAACGCCCATGCTTTCAAACACCATCTTAGTTCTTGGACAAGAATATTCCTCAAATTCAAAATTCCAAGCTTTTTGAATCACACCTTCAAGGCTCGGGCCAACCCACCACAAAGCCTCAAAACGAAAAGGCTTAGGGCCTAAAGTCAAAATATCTTTTGTATGGAGCAACAAAAGAGAGTGATCCACGTAGGTGATCTCTGCTCCATAATTCATTGGAGAAAACCCAATCAATTCGTTCATTAACATTGTGGTTTCTCCAAGAGCCTTTCATGTCCATATCAATAAGGTTGCAATAATTAATACATTCATTAAAATCGTTTGTTTGGATAGTCATAACTTCTCTTCCCCTAATTTATTCTCACTACTCCTTAATGCATTGAAATCGCCCAAGACACACCATGTGTGGTTCATATTATTAGAAATATTTTTAATCCACAACCACACCGTTTTTTGCTCTATTCGGTTAGGGCAGGATTATTTGGAATTTAAATCATCAACTGAAGCATGGACTATTCTGTCATTTGTCAAACTGATATTCCACATAACCCATAACCCACGAGAGAACCCAACAGATTCAACAATAGCAAAATCAAAGGCAAAGATTTAATAATTTTCTTAGTTTGACCTAGACCTACAATAGTTTCCATAAAAAGAAAAGCAAATGCAAAGGCCAAAGGTTATGAGCATTAGATAGCTTCCTCTAGCATTCCATATTAGGATCTTGGTAATTTTCAGACCCATATTGTCTCTAGCGTTCCAACTATGGGTGTCAATTGACCGGTTTTGGATCGGATCCAATTTGATCCAAAACCTTATCAAATTAGATTTGGGCAGTCCATTATAATTATTTTGTGCCAATTCAAAATAAATTGGTCCATATGGAATTGAATCTAAACCAAATTTCCAATAATCTGATCATGAGACCAAACCCTTATCCAATATGAAACCAATCAAAATTGAAGTCGATATAAAATCACTTTTATTAAAGTATTTTTACAAAAAACACTTTTACAAAAGTACTTTTACGAAAGCATTTTTACAAAAGCACTTTTTAAAAAAGTACTTTTACGAAAGCACTTCTATAAAAATACTTTTACAAGAAGGCACTTTTATGAAATCACTTTTACATAAGAACTTTCATAGAAATACTTTTATAAAAGCACTTTACGAAAGCATTTTTATGCAATGTTTTCAACCCGCCATTGACCCGGCTGGTCGAACCATTCGAACCGTCACCCGGCTAGGAGTTCGGGTTTGGTTTAGTCAAGACCCACTAGATAGTCAAAAATCGTTGACTTGGTCAAGAACCATTTGACCTGGCTGGTTTGACCATTGACCTGTTCGACCCGATGACCGAGTCACAGATTGCATACTCAATATGCATGCAAAACTTTCGGAGGCCACAACTTTGCACTCCGATATCCGATTAGGGTGATTTTTTTATTTTTATTTTGGGTAACTTTTAGAGATCTATGCGTCCCAACACGCCTTTTCGGCTTTCCCCACTATTTTCACGAAAAACCCCTTTTTTGCCTCAAATTGCAATTTTTAATATTTTATAAATAAAAAATTAAAAACTAAATTTAAAAACAAAAATTAAATATAAAATAATACATATAACATATCTAAAACATATTTATACATTATTTATTGCTAAAATATGTATTTATAAACACAAGTCTGAACCGTTCGACCTGGCCAGTCGAACCAGTGACTTGCGACCCGGAGGCAAAAACGATTCGACTTCTGAGTTAGTTTTTAAAACATTTCTTTTATGGAAGTAATTTTATAAAAACACTTTTATGAAAGAACTTTTACGAAAATGCTTTTACAAAAACACTTTTATGAAAGTACTTTTATAAAGCACTTTTACAAAGCACTTTCACGAAATTACTTTTATATAAGCACTTTTGTGAGTGCTTTTTCAATGCCAAAAGGGTATATTTTTAATATATTTTTATAATTTTTTATATGTTCTGTTTTTTATATAATTTTTTTATATTTCATTCGATTTGAATTGGATCCAACCCAGTCTATTTACACTTTAATGGATTGAATTGAATTTGGACTGGATTGACGCCTGGATTGAATTGGATTTGGCTTGTATTGGATTTGGACTAGATTGGGTCCAGTCCATTTATAAGTGGACTCACACTGGACTGGATCGAATTGGACCAAATCCAGTCCAATTGACACCTCTAATTGGAACCATCTTGCACCTCATTATCTTTTATATTGAATTCTGTAAGTTCTCCTTACTGTTGAAAGTAATCCCTTCATCTTGCATGTCCTGACCCTCTCATTCCTCCTCCATGCCGTCATTGCCATCCAAACCCTCTCCTTCAAAATCAAAAATCATCCTCTCCTTCTCCTTCAAACTCATTATCCTCGTTGAGATTAGCAAAAAGAAAAATAAAATGTCTCTGCCTTTCGAACTATTGCCTTCAGGCATTTTATTCTCACCTGAAACGCTTTTCTGAACCCACACTCGCATTGGGTTCGGTGGCTGGAATGGCTCAATGGTCGTGTGTGCAGGGTTAATAAATCTGGATCTTGTGTTTCTCCTGGCATAGTCTTGCCTTTGATTTTTTGCTTGATACCAGTTTTGGTATTCGTTGTTCCAAAGTTCTGTCATCACCTATCACGCCTCCTTTAGATTTTATTGCAGGATGCTTCATTGTTTTTCCATTACGCTTGTGCTAAACAACGGTCCATTCCTCATCTTCTTTCTGTTTTTGTAGTTGTGGGCAATTGTTTGTTTTATGCCCCTTCCATCCACAACTTATGCATATATCATATATTCATAAAAAAAAATCTTAATTGTATGTTGTTGTCCACCAGAAGTGAGTGGAATATGAAGTTTGAAAGGTTTACTGAGATCAACTCTAATACATACCTGAGGATATAGAGCCCGTTGAAAATCTTCAGTGTTAAGTCTAGTTTTAGAACGGTTTCCACATCCTGTAAGATGACATCAAGGTCATCCCTCAACCAGTAGTCCAGAGAGGAAGACCAAGTAATCAAATCCACAGGTCCGTCGTGTAAGAATGGTATCGAGACAGAAAAACAGAGCAAGAAATTTTCTCATTCATTTTAATAGTTTACAGGTACAGATATATATATATATATAGAGAGAGAGAGAGAGAGAGGTGATGAGTCACCAACTTTAACAAGCAAATTGCCTACGTGGCCACGTGGCAGATTACAGCTGTCAGTTGGTTATAACCAACCTTAGTATTCTAACACCCCCCTCTCAAGTTGGAGCTGCCTGGATGCCCAATTTGGACAAATGAGAAAAAAAACGATCCATGGAGACAGCTTTGCTGTCACAGTGAAGAGTAGGAGGTGTGGAGAGATTGACTTGTAGTTCAGTAAGAATCCTCTTTAACCACACTAACTCAGAAGAAGTAATAGCCATAGCTCTATACTTTGCTTCAGCAGAGAAGCGAGAAACAATGTGCTGCTTCTTGGAATTCCATGATAGAGGGGAATTTCCAAGTCAAATAGCCTGTGGTGGAGCGATGAGTCAGGGGAGCAGCTGGCCCAGTCAGAATCACAAAATCCATGGAGTTGGAGAGGATTGGAGGCTGAGAAGAAAAATGCCATAGGTCACAGTGCCTTTGATGTAGCGTACTACTCGCAAAGCTGCATCAAAATGTTCTTGTTTGGGGTCTTGTATGAATTGACTTAAATAGTTGACAGCAAAACAAATGTCCAGTCTTGTTGCTGTTAAGTAGATAAGTCGGCCTATCAAACGGCGATATTGGGCTGGATCTGATTGGACTGGAGGTGTCGGTGAAATGTCTTTGGTGTTCCATAGATGTAGAACAAGACTTGCAATCCATCATATTTGTGTATCAAATGATGTCAAGAGCATACTTCTACTGACTGAGAAAGATGCCAGCACTTGATCTAGATACCTCTAGGCTAAGCAAAAATTTAAGTGGGCCCAAATCTTTGATCCCAAATAGACTATCTAGGTGTTGCTTGAGAGCAAGAATGCGAGTGGTGCCATTTCCTGTAATGATGACATCATCAACATATACCAAAACAACAACAAAGGAGCATCCAAACTCAAGTGTGAAGAGAGAATGATCAGATGGTGATTGCTTGTAACCCAAGGATGACAGTGACAATGTGAATTTCTCAAATCACATTTGGGAGGCTTGCTTGAGGCCGTAAAGAGACTTGTTCAATTTATAGACGTGGTTGGGAAAAGTATGCCCAAAGCCTTGCAGAATGGTCATGTAGACTTCTTTATGGAGGTCTCCATGAAGAAAAGCATTGTTCACATCTAGCTTATGGAGATCCCAACCTTTGATGGCTGCAATTGCGAGTAAACATCGAACAGTGGCGATTTTAGCCACTGGAGTAAAAGTGTCATGATAATCAAGGCCTTCAATTTGAGTGTAACCTTTTGCAACAAGCCGCGCTATGAAGCGTTTTATAGTACCATCAGCCTTGTATTTGATGCGGTAGACCCACTTTGACCCAATGGGTTTCTTGCCAGGAGGTAGTGGTACAATGGACCAACTGTTGTTTCGTTCTAGGGCTGCAACTTCATCAACCATTGCTTGACACAATCGTGGGTCTTTGGCTGCTTGGGTGTAGGTCTTGGGTTCACCTTGAAGGGAAGCAAGATGGGATTGGGCTAGTGAAGGAGGAAGTTGATAAATGTAGTCATGAAGATGAACAGGGACAATGGTGTTGTGGCGTGGGCAGGTGATTGGTGATGATGGAGGGTTCAGTGGGTGATGAGTAGTGGGCTTAAGTGTGTCAATGTGGCTATGCTGAAGTAGTGTGGGTGGTGTAGGATTGATGGCTTGAGTGGGTTCAGTCATAGGAGGTTGGCATGTTTGGGTTTGGTGTTGGGTAGTGTCAATGGTGGTAGGTGGGCTAGGGTAATCAAAATCATCTAGGGGTGGTAGAGGAATGACAGATGTGTTGGGTTGAGTAAGTAATGGCCCATTCTTGAATGGGAAATGACTCTCATAGAAAATGACATCTCTTGTAGTGGAGATTTTATGAGTTTCTAGGTTGTAAGCTATGTAGCCACATTGACCATGTGGGTAGCCCACAAAGACACAAGGATGGGCTCGAGGGGCAAATTTGTCATTTGGACGTGGTCGTAATCGAGCATAATATAGGTAGCCAAAAACCCGTAGGTGATGGTAGGATGGTGATTTGTGAAACAGGCTTCATATGGAGAAACATTGGATAGTAATGGAGTGGGTAGTGGGTTTATAATATAGGTTGCAATAAGTAGATGACAAAATATTTTCCGTTTATAAACCATGGCCCCTCCTTGAGAATGAGATTATAGTCTTCAGTAGATGAGAAAGATAAGAGGAAGAAACTTTTGCCAATTGCGTGTGTGTATCCAATTTGCCTTTAAGACCCCAACCCCAATCCATCACTCTCGAGGGGTTAACCATAGTCCTCATTAGATGAGTAAGAATGAGATTATAGTCTTTAGCAGCTCGTTGCGATAGCATTGATTGATTCAGGTTCACCCAGTATTTTTCCAAGTAAACATTGAACCCACTGATCATCAACACTTCTGTCATTTCTGTTTTCGTCTAAGCTCATAAGGCGTGCCACTTTTGAATTCAGCTCCTTGTTGCTCTCAGATCTAATATTTCTAGATCTATTCTCCATTTCTGGTTGCAATGCTTCATTAAGCAATCTTCTCGCTTTGCTTGTTTCAACATGCTCGTACATTCTTTTGGGTCTTCTCTATATTGATTCAGGTCTCACAAGTTCAAAGCTAGTAGTAATGGTGAAGACTCAGCTAAGTTGATCCTTTTAATAATTGGGGGCTCATTATCCGCTATTTTAATTCTACCCAGACCATGGGTCATTAGCCTACATTCTGAGGTTATACTTTTCTCAATAGTTAGATTAGATCACTCGCAACGGGTTCTTTTCCAAATCAGGGTTCAATTGTTATTTAATTGTCTTACTTTTAAGATTTCTAACAGGAACCCGAGCACTGGTCACTAGATTAATATTTAGATCAACATCTTGTCCCGTTAAATCATCTTGTCAACATTGGTTGTTATTGTTAACCTTCTGGATATGCAATTTGTTTTGCATAGATAACTTTGCCATCTTATCAGAACTGCAGACTATTTTACTGCTATCACCCACTAATCCACTATATGATTTGGGTGCATCTTCTTCCATTGAAGCAAGACTTTAGAAAAGGTTTGCTTTTGTATTTTCTTTCGATTACCTTTAATACCCATGGGGTTAAACTAGAAGTCAGTTTGAAACTGAGACAAGACTCTCCTACCCAGAAGAGACAAAGGGGGAGAAGACCATAGAAATAAAAGGCCAGACAAAACAGTTAGTCCAGAGATAGCAGTATAAAAATAAAGAGAAAAAAACAACTACAATGAGCACTAGAAACCGGTAAGAGGACAAAGCATTACACAAGGTGATCATATGATGAGAGAATAAGTTAAAGAGCTTCCCTGAAGGTTTGTAGTTGACATTATTGATCACTCCACAAGGACTCAATCCAATCAGTTAACATTGTTCAAGATAGATTTTTGGTATCATAGTCGAACCTCTTTTTTATTATGAGAAAAGATGAATATTTGACATTGGAAGAAATCAAAGACGAATAAAAGGAACGGGTTTGGTAGTCGGGTATGCCATGTTTGGTTCAACTCTCATTTTTTGTTATTCTTACTCAAGATAAAATTCTAAAATGAACAAGAATGGTTAAAAATAGGGAAAATGATAAAATATTGCTATAAACCAAATGCCACTGGTAAACATTTATGCCAACTGTTTTGGAGACTTAGGCTGACACGGCCATCACATGGCTTTTTTGAAGAATGAAAATGAGCAAGATGGTGTATGATTATTTTTCATGTTACAAGTTATCTCAATTTTTGTGCTATAAGCTGATTTTTCATTTTAAAAAGAATGAGGCCCATGGTAACAATTTTATAACTAAATGCTCTAATGTTATTCATTCTTGCCCATTCTTTCTTAAGATGAGCAAGAATAAAAAAAAATGAAGTCCAGAGCAGCGAACCAAACATGTTATGAGCTTCCCTAAACAATAAAAAACAAGGAATGTCTTAACACTAGACAATTTAGTTTGGGCTCAAAATGAGTCTTCTAATTCCTTTCCCTACCTTAAATTCATGAAAAAAAATCAGTACAATAGACATTGCTACATGCTCTAGAGACAACTTTCAAATTACAAGACTATTAGTCAAGACACATCCGATCCACAGGCTTTATTTATAAGCAAAATTGAAGATGAAGCTCTACGACATTTCTAATTAAATGGTGTCCATCTAAGTTCAATTTAAGTATTATTTTTTGGGGTTATATTTAGTTTATCCAATCACAATTTAAGTTGTACTTTAGTTAGAGTGGCTAATTTCTTATTGTTTAGGTAAAAATGTATTATTTTTTGTATCTTAATGCTAATTTTTATTATTTTTTTTGAAAAAAAAATCTTTTTATTAATTTGGGAAAATCTATGATACGGAAAAGATATGGTATGGGAAGAGTTTTGACCAATCAAAACCCACCCATGAATTTTGATAAATATCACCTGATTGGCTACCACATTTATGATTCTAGTTGACTAGCCAGAAGTTTTTCAGATATGATATCTTTTCCTTATCATAGTTGAACCCAATTATTTTTTATTGGTTCATTATTATTTTTGTATTATCTTTTAGTAAAATTACAAAAAGAAAATACCCTCTTATAACAATTCTATAAACCACCTTTGTATTTTCACCCTAACAAAGGTTTTTCCTGTAGTTTTGAAAAAAAAAAGTGCAAATACCTCATTTCCCTTGGATTTTTGGTAACAAAGACATTGAAATTATCAAAATACCCTTATTATTGTTAATGAATTATCATGCATAATTTAAAGTTTTAACTTTACCCTCCACTAATTTATTTTGCCAGACAACTTTCACAGAACAATTCTCCTTACTCTTATTGAACAAAGTAAGGTAAAAAGGCTGAAGTGAAGTAAAATTGATGCATTACATTAAATTGAAATGAGTGAATTAGTGGCATGAGTTATTGAATGAGAGAATTAATGACATAATTAATGAGAGATTATTAAAAGAGTTATTGGGTGGGAGAGGGAGAGAGAGAGAGAGAGAGAGAGAAAAGGAGGGAGTTAATTGTGTATTAATGAGGAGTGTTAAAAGTCTTAAAGGTGATTAGTCACTCGAGTTGTTTTGTTCAATTTTAAAATTAAAAAATTCAAAATAATTAGAAAAAGATAGATGCCTTTGAGAACAAACCAAAATAAAAAGATAAGTGACAGAATAAACCATAAAACAAGAAAGTGCTAACTTGGCATATTCCATTTTAATGTATAGATATAGATTATTAATCAAACAAATCTCTAATCTAAAATTATAATAGTGCTGATGTGGACCATAGGGTTGAAAGTATAGCCAATCCAAAGGCAAATGATCGTCCATCCATCCGATGAGTGGTTTGGATTCGGGTGGTTAAAATAGCATAGATTGTGTAGAAAAGCTCACTACTTGATACATGATTAGGGATCTTTCCACTGCCACTGGTTAGTTCAATCATATAAGGGTCCATTTGGTCAGGTTTATAGTCGGAATTAGAATCGGAATGCTCTATTCTTATAATCTGGTACAAACAAGAATCGGAATGAGATTTCATTCCCAAGGGAAAGGGGTTGCCATTCCACCAGGAATGAAAATAGGATTCTAATACTACCCAACCAAATAGTTAGAATTGAAATGGCCAATTCTAATTCCGATTCCAGACCCTTAATTTCACAAACCAAATGGGTTCTAAAATTTAATTGAGATTTTTGAATTAATTATTGCTAATGAGATCATCCATAATTGAGAATTGAGAGACCAGTATGTTGTTTGCTCCTTACTCCTTTACTCAGAGTAATGATCAAGCTTCTCCACATTAAACAAGGTATCATATATGTCTAACTTCCCACCTACTGGCCACTGACGCCAAGAGAGAGAGGATGATCATCTGCGGCCAAAATCCATTATAAAAAAAGGCCTTGTTTCTGGCTGATTACACGTAAGGGTGTCAATGGATCAGTTTTGAATTGGACCCCGTCTAGTCCAAAATCAATTTGGAAAGATTGGACAGACCAACAAGACATATTGGGATTGGATTAATCTGGTCTAAAATATTTATTAGATTGGGTTGGACCTGGTCCATCAATAACAAATTTATATTGGATTGGGTTGGATTAAACCAATATCTGATCCATTGATATAAGATAAGAATATATGTGTCAATGGACTAGGTTTGGATTGAAACCAATCTAAATCAAAATGAATTTGAACATATTGGACCTAGTCCACTCCTCATCTTTTGTTTTGTAGTTCCGGGCAGTTGTTTGTTTTATGCCTCTCCATCACAACTCATGCATATATCATATATATTCATAAAAAAACCTTAATTGTATGTTGTTGTCCACCAGAAGTGAGTGGAATATGAAGTTTGAAAGGTTTAGTGAGATCAACTCTAATACATACCTGAGGATATAGAACCTGTTGAAAATCTTCAGTGCTTGAGTCTAGTTTTAGAACAGTTCCCACATCTTGCAAGATGACATCAAGGTCATCCTTCTACCAATTATCCAGAGGAAGACCGAGTAATCGAATCCACAGGTTCGCCGTTTCCAACTAATGTAGGCGCACATGGCAGACTCAGGATGGCGACGCGTGGTAGTAGGCAGAGTGCATCCTAGTCATCCACTCATAACTAACTCCAAGCAAGTTCAGCTATAAAAAAGTGGCGTCACTATGAGGTAATCCATCTAGGAATTTATTGCTCTATGCTC